TTTATTTTTTTTTCATTTTATGTCATTTTTTGGAATTGTAACACATAACCTGCTCATAGAATGGGATTTAAAATAGCAACTATTTATAAAAATTGAATTTTTCAACATAACATTTGGAATTGTTTCGGAAATACTGTGTCCATTAAATATATATCAAATTAAAGCTTATGTCATGTCCTATAAAATGAAAAAAAACAATTTGTCCTGACGAGTTTTCTTCTATGTGCAAGTAGTTTACTTAGTTAAAAACATGCTATTTTTGTGTTAAAATTTTTGTTTTTCGATTTTATATTTTCCATTTTAATTATTGTAACTTTTTAAAAAAATGTATAGATCAACACAAATTTTTGTTTCTTAAATATTATATATACCTCTTTCATCTGACATACTTTTGTTTTTAAATTTCCCCTTTTACAGTAGGCGTCCAAAGCTCGAAATATTGAGTTCTTTTAACATATGTTATATTAAAGCTTACATTATGTACTACTAGTAAAAAAAAAAAAATTTTTTCCAAAAAAATCAATGTTATTTTAATACTTAAAACTGCTATAACTTATTGAAAAATAAACGAACCAACATAATTTTATTATATAAACACCTTACGTATTTTCTTTTAAATTTATATAAATTGTATGATAATCTGACCCTTTACGATTCCACTTTTGGAGATTCAAAATAGCAACTTTTTTTACAAAACTCAACTTTTTCAACTGAAGTTTTGTAAATGTTCCTAAAATACTGCACTTTTTTTTTTTTTGTGTGCCTGTATATGCTCAATCTCAGCTTTTGCTGGACCAATGTTAATGAATAATATGTCAAAAGTTTCCAAATCGTATCTTGTCGAAGACATTACCCTCAAAATTGAAAAAATTTCCCTCATTCCCCGTAAATGGGGAAAACCTCAAAAAATCTATAATTTTAGACATTTTTCCAATTTTTAGCTTCGATGCGAAGCTGAGAAGGTATTGGTTTTACTAAGATGTGTTTTTTTTTTTTTTTTGTGTCTGTTACCACTTTTTCTCAGCTCTCACCAAACGGATTTCTTTCGACGATACGTCAAAAGATCACAAATTGTATCTTGTCGAAGACATTACCCTCAAAATTGAAAAAATTTCCCTCATTCCCCGTAAATGAGGAAAACCTCCAAAAAAATTACAATTTTAAAAATCTATAATTTTAGACATTTTTCCAATTTTTAGCTTCGATGCGAAGCTGAGAAGGTATTGGTTTTACTAAGATGTGTTTTTTTTTTTCTTTTTTTTGTGTCTGTTACCACTTTTTCTCAGCTCTCACCAAACGGATTTCTTTCAACGATACGTCAAAAGATCACAAATTGTATCTAGTCGAAGACATTACCCTCAAAATTTGATAAAAATTCCCTCGTTCCCCGTAAATGGGGGAAACCTCCAAAAAAATTACGAATTTAAAAATCGCTAATTTTCAAAATTTTTTCAATTTTTTGTACTTAATAGTGCCATAACTTTTTCAAAAATAAACATATCAATATAGTTCTTTTTTATATAGATGCATAATATCATTACCTTCTATTTTACATTTTTAACTTTATTATGCTATAACTTTTTGAAAAATGTATGGATCAGTACAACTTTTTCATTAGGAGTAGTATTTATATACATCTTTCATTTGACATACTGTTTTTTTAAATCGGACCATTTCCCTATATACGAGGGTGGTTCAAATATAAAAAATGCATGTAGAAAGTAGAACTTTTTCAACTTAATTTTTTAAAGTGTTCCGGAAGTCTGACACTTTTTTATATATCTTAAATTAAAGCTAATGTAATGCACTTTATTATGGAAAAAAAAAATTTCGGACTTTATTTTGTCTTCATGGTGAAAATGGCTACCGAATGCTATTTTTGTGAGAAAATTCTCGATTTTATTTTTTACATTTTTAACTTTATAATGCTATAACTTACTGAAAAGTGATCAACATAATTTTTTTATGAAAAATAATATTTTTTAATAATCTCTTTTTCATTCAGGATACTAATAAAGAAATAGCAGATCATGTAGCTTTTGGAATAATCCATCAATTTTTTAAAATTGAACACTATCTAAAGATTTGCATCGAATCGTTTTTTTTTTATAATGATTTTAATCACTGTCAGATATGATTATAATTGATCCAATTATGCCACGTCACCACTATGCAGCGACCCCCATTTGCTGGGTTTTTTTATATTTTCTCCATAAAAATTACAATACTAAATCATTGATAATCAATTTCATACTAAATATAATTACTATAATTAGTATTTATTCATATATTATACTTATAAATAAAAAAACTACCAATCAGAAATAATAAAGGAAATAGGAAATAATTTTGCTTATGGTATAATCCATCAATTTTTTTTAATTAAACACTTATCTTCAGATTTTCATTGAAGCGTTTTTTATGATAGTGATTTTAATCACTGTCAGATTAAATCAATTTTGGACTCAACTATGTCACGTCACTGTGTTGGGTTTTTTTCGTTTGTTTATATATATTATAATCACTATCATAAGAAATGGTTCGAAGCAAATCTGTAGATAGTATTTAATTTTAAGAAATTGGAGGATAATTATAAAAGCAACATAAGTAAGGACATAAAGTACAAAACCCAGAATTTTAACACAAAAATAGCATATTTTTAAATACGGTGACAATTTTTACCATGAAGACAAGTCCAGAGTCTTTAAATTTTTTCTTGAAAAATTAAAGTTTATTACATAAGCTTTAATTTAAGATATATATATAAAAGTTTCAGTATTTCTGGAACATTTTTAAAATTTAAGTTGAAAAAGTTAATATATCAAATGATAGTCAAATACTTTAGGTATCTATGAAAAAATAAAATTATATTGATATGTTCATTTTTAAAAAAGTTATGGCAGTCATAAGAAAAAAAATTTGACAATTACTGATTGTTTTTCAATGTTTGAGGGTAATTTTTTCGACTAGACACAATTTGTGATCTTTTGACGTATTGTTCATTAAAATCGGTCCAATGAGATCTGAGATTAAGGGTTCACAGTCACAAAAAAAACATATCATTAAAATTAATACCTTCTCAGCTTCTCATCGAAGCTAAAAAACCTTTTAAAAATTTGTTCAAAAAATAATGTAATCAGTAAACTTTGATCGAATGTTTCGGATTCTTATTTATAGTTATATTTAATATTTATGTGGTGGTTTTCGAATAACAATGACCATTTCTGAGGAAGGTTGAGGCAATGAAGGAAAATGGGAAAACTCTTAAAAAGAATGTGTATGAGCTACGAGTGGCGAATTGCTAATTGTCCCAAGAGAACCGTCATCGTTGACACCATGGAGAGGGATACTAGCACTGATTACAGTTCGTGTCACCTCGTTTGTTTTCTACCACCGCCTCACTTGTTAAAACATACAATACCGTTTTGCGGTTCAGCGACTCGAAAAATTGCTTCTGTCGTCATCATCACCTGCATCTGTTTCTGTTGCTATAGGATCAACAATGCTATTATTATGTATAAGACAACCAGTACAAACTTTTTGAGTAACACAATTGGAAATGTAATTGGAAATGTTTCTCGTTTTGATATCGTCACTGTGTAGAGCAACTACACAATTCCATTGGCCAATCACGAATCTTATGAAAAAGTTTGAACTTTTACCGAGCGCCGAAAAAATTTAAAAGAGAATTCAAATAGGTCTTTTTCAAATAGCTATTTTATATAGACATATTTAAATTAAAATTTATATTATACCAAATACTTGAAAATCAATAAAACCGTTAGGAATAACTAAAAATTTACATAAATTAATAAATTAGTTTTGTATGATTTTAATTTCATATTTACACTTATAATTATAAAAACTAATAAAATAATTTATTTGTTTTATAAAACTTATGCTAAGATAAATATTTTACAACCCAGTGACATATTTAAATAATACAATTAAGCACAATCAGTACTTTGATTATTAAACATAGAATAAATAAATAATTTTTAAAAAGCTAGGATATCTCAGCTTAATATGTTTAATAGTAGACGAGTTTTTTTAATAGTAACGAGCATTGACTATAAAAACTCTCATATATTACAGTAAGGTATTCATTTTTTTACAAACATGGACAACATGTACTTAAAATACTTTATTGCTTTATTCTCTTTTTATCCTGAATTATTCATAACTATAAATTAAATTTATTAATCATAAATGTTATTTAAATTTTATTTTTAAACTTTAATACATGTTGAATTTAAAAAAATTAATTAAAAGATTTTTTTTAAAAATGAAATTTTCAAATAGTTAAATATTTAAGTGGTGATGATTTTATGAAATAAATAAAATTTAATTAATTTACTAAAACTTTTCACAAAATATTTCATGAATAATTTTAATATAAATACTTAAAATTTTTGAACATAAATTTAAATGTCAACAGTTTTTTATGATTATACACTGATATAAACAAGAATTAAATTTATATATTTACTTAAGACTTTTTAATATTAAAATAGTATTACATAAATTTCATATTATTTGAAATTTAAGTGTACACGAAACTTAGGTAACGAAATAATATTAGACCTTTCACTGAAAATAATTCTTTAGGTAAAATTATATAGAATGTTACAAACAAAATAGTAAATTTTTTAAGTTTATTATTTTATATCTGTTAAAACCTTACTTGACTTTCAGTAAACTTTAAGGTTATTTTAAAGATAGCCTCAATAAAATGAATCGAGTCCTAAAATATTTATATTGCACTTTTACTTCAATTATCAAGTTAAAATTAACTTCTTATTTAAATATCTCATTAGTAACTAAGATTGAAATGAAGTAATTTATTGCTAACTTATTAGGAATATAATTAACCCTTGTGTAGTTTATATAAACATAAATGATGTTTCAATTGTCTTTAAAATTACTAAAAATATATTTTTTTAGGGAATTTCCTAATTATATAAATAATATACATATTCAATTTTCAATTAATTACTTACATTTTTAGTAATTTTTAGTGGACTGTGTTTTAAAGTCACATACTTAAGATTCTTGTTTTAAATTAATTTGCACCTGTGCATATCTAAATAACGGTAATAATCAGCACTTGTGCACTGTGCATGAGATTCACTCATGCATTTATTCATTATAATGAATTTATTATTACTTAATAATGAAAAATTGCATGAATTTGTATAAGTTTAATTTAATTTTTTTAATTGAACCAATATTTTTATAAATCAAACGAGAATTTATATAACATTTTATAATTTTAATCTTATACATTTTTCAATTCTATAAAGCATAGTAGACTTAATGTTCATAATACAACACTATTAAAAACATTTAAAATAATAGTTTCTATAATATCACAAATAAATTTTTTTTTATAATATACAAATACAATCTGAAGTAAAGTCATCCATATTATCTCAAATTATCCCTTTTTTAAATTTAGTGCAACTACAATTTTTTGATATACTATTATAAATTATGAGTTCTAAGCATCCCTTAGCATTATTGTAATAATATGTGTGCCCATAGCCGTGCTAACTGGTAGCAGTCATATATTTGGCGGCCATATTAAGTATATGTTCAAATAAAATTCATATTATGCAAAAAAAAATATTCATTTTACTTTTTTTTGGCACACAAGGTCATTTGCTCATTTGCCCCCTCCCTCTTAGCACGTTCCTATGTGTGCCAATTAATTTTAATAGTTTTAAAACATAGAAAAAATATTTATACTGTATAATTTTAAAAAAGTTTAAATAAAATTAATATTTTAAAATGATTAAAAATTATATTATAGTAATATAAAAATGTTAGAAATTAAAATAAAATAACGTATTTTAAGAAAAAAAATATACATTATTCTACACTATTGACAAGAAAATTAATGACAATTTTGTAGAATTTTAAAATTTCAATGCCGTACATTTGTTTATTTATAACTAAAAGCATTGTTTGTTAATGATACACAAGTGTAAATTTATGTTGATAAAAACACCAAATAATTCAATATATTTTAAGCTAAAATAAAAAGTATATATAACTGGAAAACTACTAATTTAAATAGAATAGTTCATAGCTGCAATATATTAAAAACGCATAAATTGGCTTTTAGACATTTTTTCATAAAAAAATTTAACAATGGATTTCAATACCGTTTTTTATTTTTTATTTTTGTTTTTTCATCTTCAAGTAAAAGCTTTAATAATTAAAGATAATAACGAAGAAGATACTCCAAATTGGCCAGAATCATGGGTGAGAATTATTTTTAAAAAATAATATATTACAGATGACATGTATTCGTTTATTATTGCAAAATATTGATTGAAGTTAAATTTAATAAGTAGTTTATTAATACAAATAATAATAATAACAGTAAAAATAAACGCATTAATTTAAATCTGACTTATTATGTAATCTTTTACAATTTTCGGTATAAATGATTTTATATAATTAAAAATTATACAATTTAATAATGATCACATATGAATAAATAATTTACACTTCACAAAAATGAAAAAATATGTTGAATCTTATCATACATATATGAATGATAAGATTCAACATATATATATATATACAAAATGTTCGATTATGAAACAACTTTCTTTTGGAAAGTATTTAATATTCTTAACTCTTGCAAAGGAAGTTTAGATTGATTAAGAAAACTCCACAATAATATGTATTTAAATAATTTTTTTTCATTCCTTCAAAGATAAAAATCGAAGCTTTAATATTCTTAAATGGAAATCCCTATTTTTTGTTTTGAATATATGATTGAAAAAAAATATCCAAAACAATTTTGTTATACAATTTCTCTTATCCGATGATTGCATTTTAAAATTATTTTTAAGATTTGAATTTATAATAGATATTAGTTTCACATAAATTTCACTATGATGTGATAATTATTATTTTTTAAAAAAGCTTAGAAAGTATTAATTTTGATGCTGTTTTTTTTTTTTTGTGTGTCTGTTACCACTTTTTCTCAGTTCTTCTCGAACCGATTTCTTTTAACGATACGTCAAAATATCACGAATTATATCTAGTTAAAGACATAACTCTCAAAAATTGAAAAAAATTTCCTTGTTGTCCGAAAATTGGGGTAATCCCCATTACTAACAATTCCTTTAATTCTCATTTGATATATTTTTTTTGAAAACTGACCTTTTAGTTGATCACAGGATGGATTCAAAATAGTAACTTTTGAAAATGTTCCGATTATACTGTGTCCTTTAAACGTATATCAAATTAAAGATTATACTTCGTATTGCAAATTAACAAAACAATTGTTTGGAATTCTTAAAAATGGTTAAAATATTTAAAAAACAAAAATATTTTTTTTTTTTTACTTTAAATTTCCATAATACATTGAAAATGTATTGATCAATAAAACTTTTTTTTTGTAAGTACATATTCCTTTCATCCGAATTTAAATAGTATTATATTAAATATGTACGGTATTTCAAATACCGTACAAAAGAGAGGTTATAAACGATGGAGTCACTATTTTCATTATTGTTATATGAATGTAATCTACATTAAAAAAAAAAATTATTTTGAAATTTCAGCCTCCTAAATCATGAAAAACTATACCTCGGACTTGACGGAAATATAGCGAAATTGTTTCAATATCCATTTTAAGTTACTTGATTTCTCTTAAAATAATAATTACGTTTAAAAAATCCTTTTTGACAAATTTTAATCTGATTATTTTTTAATTATTTATTTATTAAGTATTTTTTTACTTATCTCTTATACTATTCAAGAATATCAACTTTATTTCTTAATGATAACATATTAATTAGCTCAAAATAAAAAAAATGATATAATTAATAAAATAAAAGGTCGATAATAACTTTTGATCCATTATTTCGAAAGGTATAGCTATTTTAAAATATTAAGTGGAAATTAGTTTTGATTATGTTATTTTTATCAATACGAATAATGAGTTTACACGTTCTTTCTCCAATCTTTATTCAAAAATATTCACAACTTCCGAAATTTTTCTAAAATTATTATGTACATTTTCAATGTAGTAATTTTTTAATGAGATAATACATTTTAACTTAATTGTATTCAATTTATACACGACATATTTTATTTTGAATATTTTTCTTAAGGTTAGAACTCTGAAACAAGAGCAACTCAATCGATTATTTCTTTCATTTGGCTATTTTAATACGAATTTTGAAGACTATGCCTTAGACAATGATAAACTGAAATTAATCATGACTGATGAGGAAATTGAATTCATAACTGAAAAATTTGACAAAAATAGTAATAAAAATAAAATAAATGAAAACCAACTATATTGTAATCTTAAAATATTATCTTAAGTCAACAATTTTTATAGAAAACGAAAAAATTGAATTTAATGAATTTTTGTATTTGATGGAGGCCCAAGAGTTTGATAAAAAAATGGATGATGTTGATTTTATATCTAAAGTTATAAAAAAAATAGAATTAAATGGCGTTGTGTTCAAGGAAGACTTAAAAGAAGCAATTGATAAACTAGGGTTTATTTTCAGTGAAAAATATAATGATTTATTTGATCAAAATCAAGGAAAAATAGAAACAAAGGGTACAAATTATTTTCTATTATTATAAAATCAATACTAAATAATTTAATTGAAATATTATTTATACTAAGTGAGTAACTAATGTTTCTCTATGTTTTATTTTTTTTCAGATGCTTTGAAATTACTAACTGTAAGAGAAATACAGTAAAACTAACATTACACGTTACGCAAACATTGCATTAATTAAATAAGTGATTTGTATAATTATATATTAATGCATTAAAAAATATCTTTAAACAATCAACTTACTATAAAATAAAATTTTTATTTTGTAATATTGTCCTAGTGTTTTTACGATTTGTCTTCAATATAATACATATCCAAAATTTAAGCGAATAAAATTTGTTTCTATGATTTTCAGAAACACTTTCGTTAAAAACAATACGTTGAAAACAAAAGTTAAAAATATGTTCAATATAATTGTTTTTCATCAATACAATAATTTAGTACAAATTTTACATTTGTAAATCGTAGTAATCACTGTAAAAAAAGTAATAACAATAATAAATAAAAATAAAAAAAATTACAATCTTAGTCTTGTATTAATAAAGGTTTTTAAAATTAGAGATAAAAATCTCTAATAATGAGCGTCATAACTGTTTAATTATTTTTAGAAAATATAAAATTAGAAAAAGTTATAATATGAATTTTATTTATGAAATGGTAATTTTTAAATATTAACACTTCTAAAGATTATCAATCCAAATTTTTTTAGAACTAGTACACTTATTACATAGTCTCAGAATATAACACGTATGGATCTACGACAATTATGTGTCAGGACACTTTACGGTTAAGTATTAATTAAAAAAATTTGAATTTGAAAAATTAGCGTTTTTTTAACTACGGCAGCCGTTTACACGCAGAAGATAAAGTGTCGGGACAAATTTTTTTTTTTGTTTTATATTACATAAAATAAGCTTTAATTTGACATATGTTTAAAGGACGCAGTGTTTGCGGAACATTTTCAAAAATTAAGTTGAAAAAGTTAGTTTTTGTAAAAAAGTTACTATTTTGAATCCCCCCCTGTGAGCAGGTTAAGTATTAGATTTTCAAAAAAATGATATCAAATGAGAGGGACATATCTAAGGTTTTAGTAAAAAGAAAATTATGTTCATTTGTTGATTTTTGAAAAAGTTATGGAAGTTTTAAGAAAAAAAAAGTGAAAAAAATGACAAAATTTACCGATTTTTTAATTTGTAATTTTTTTGGATATTTCCCCCATTTGCGGGGAACGAGGGAATTTTTTTAATTTTTAAGGGTAATGTCTTCAACTAGATACGATTTGTGATCTTTTGACGTATTTTTGAAAGAAATCGGTCCAGTAGGAGCTGAGAAAAAGTGGCAACAGACATAAAAAAAAAAAAAAAAAACACATCATAGTAAAATTAATACCTTCTCCGCTTCGCATCGAAGCTAATAATATGAATTTGAAATTATTTGAATTTAGGTTTTACTTTTCTTTTAATAACTTTCACCTAAATTAGAAAATTCGGCTTCAATCGAATTTAAAATGCTTGAAAACAAAATAAATATGTAAAATATAAGCAGATTATAATTTTATTTATGATTTTATGAAAAGTCTTAAAAAATGAGTTACTAAGATAGCTGCACAAAACAAATTTATTGATGGACAGTTCCGAATTAAATATATTTTTGACAAATTTTAATTAATAATTCTATGACGTAATTTGTGATTTAAAGTTTCTGAAATAATATTTTCTGAAAATATCATTAAAAATCAAGAATATTTTTTTTAATTTTTTCTATATTTTACAACATTGTAAAATGAATAATCATATACATCAAGTATAAAATTGTAAAAATTTATATATTTAGCTTCACATAATTTGACCAAAAAAGTTGAAGATATCTCTTCTTTGAATAAAAATTAACCAAATATCCAATTTATAGTTTACATACGTTTTAGAGTTGTGTGAATTTAGCAATAATCGAATTTATACTTAACCGCCTTATTGAACTTATTTTATGGTAATTATATAGATGTTGTTTCCTGTAAATTTTTCAAATTCATCAACACTTCAGAAATTTTTTGAGGGGATAAATATTTTTAGAACAATTTTATTTTTATCTTGTAACGCTACTGCCAATCAGGTAAAATATGAATACTTTCCATTATAAATAATTTATAAATATTCATTACTTTAAATAATTTTCTAGATTAATAAATATTTATATGATAGAAATAAGACACCTAAATTATTTACATATAAATATTTTTTGTAAAAAAAAGGTCATAAAGTGTTAAAAATATATTTAAAAAATGTTGATCGAATACCAGACATCATGTCTTATGGTTTCGGCAACTGTAAAAACGTTTTCAGTACACACATCAAAAAAAATTGCTCGTGGTCGGTCATCTGGACAAAATTACCGCCATAATACAGTTACTGTTAACAGTATAAAATAGGTGTTATTTGAAAACAAAAAATTATTTTTTTAAGGTTAACATTAAAGTTTAAAAGTATGAAATTTTTATATTGTTCAAGTTATTTGACTAATAGAAAACTATGAACTTAATGAGCTTAGGTACGATTTTGCAATTTTCGGTTTTCTCGAACATTATAAAATTAAAATTAACTCCATTTCTTTACATTCACAGTTGCAATGTGTTAATGTTTTTTTTATTTAATAAAATGTATAAAGTATGTACTCATTATATATATTATGTATTGTGAGTACATTTACACGGTAATCGAGTTCCATCTATTACATAAAACATCCACAAAGCTTATACAGTTTGTGGTTTATTGCTAAATAATACAAGTGACATTGCATCAAAAAACTATCTGTCAAATTATTGGCACCCGCTGCTATGCTCTGATGGATCACAGCGCACAGACCCAAACGCAACTCGTTTCGCTCCATTAACGATTGTGGTGGTAGATTTTTAAACCGCTCGCGTTTTATATAAACGCTACCACCCCGTCGGTAATATTTCTATCTAGCCAACCTTCTGTTGATTTCTACCCGGCAATAGTATATGTTATTATAACAGCAATAATAACACTGTGATAAAGTTTCCCCTATCAGGAACAATACGGACGTTTACACCCAAGGGACTCATTACGATTGAAGCACAGGCAACGAGCCGTAAACGCATTCCATTAGGAGTCTGGCTGGCCCCTTCTAAACTATGGGCACCATCACTTGGTTTTAGTCTTACCGGCATAAAAACGATTTTATAACCAGTTGGCCAGTAAAAATTTTATGCTGGTAAATGCAGTTTTCTCATTTCTCTCGTTTGCCATACTGCTATTACACTTTTTTATTGATTTCATTGCGTCTTATGACTTAACAATCACTTTAATACCTATTGAAGAATCAAACCGAATCAACTTTGAATAAATAAAATTATTTATTAAAAAGTTTCCTCTACCGGAAATATATTTAAAACTTAATAATATTATTTAAAACATCCATCGACAAATCGTTTTTCTTGTGTACAAAAGATGTAAATGAACTTTTAGGAGTTAATCAAAAGCTCATTTTTTAAATTCCATAAGAATCAATGTTAATTATTCAAAGTATTAAAATACTACAGAATAGTAAATTTCAAAATTAAAAAGCTATCATTGATGTACAAGAAAATATTTACCTTTCTGTATTTATACGAATTTTGTAGCTTATATCCAATCGTTGATTTTCGATATGACTTTTTCATAAAAATGTTTGGATTAATGATGAAATGTGTAAAAAAGGTGTTATCTACCAAAAAATAATTCAAAATCAGTTTCATTTTACATTAATTTTCCTTTCGAAAATAATCTCTTTTAGTAAGAAAAAATACCCCTTTGTAGATTTATTTAAAATTTCTTTTAATATTGTGAACTATCCACAGTAACTTGTTATAATATCATCCAATTAGCTTATGTAAGAGTTAATAAAATTAGCTATAATCGTAGTAGTATATTACTTTTTATCACTTATAAAACAAAAGATCATTATTTACGGTTGCTATAAATTATGAAGTTTTTAAAACTTCACCACAAAAACATTTATGTATTGTAAAAACTTTAGCATTATGGTGAAACAATTACTCGAAATAAGGAAAAAAAAATCATATTTTTCATTATATTTCTTATTATATTAAATTATTAATCAAAAAACTAAAATCCGTCTTAGTTGTTACATAATAGAAGAAAATTAAGATCGCTGAACATTGTCTACTAAAAATTAAATATCTCTAAAATTCTCCAATATGGTATAATCAAATTTATATTTGCTTCGTTTTGCCACCACTGTAATTATTTAAAATGTTAACAATCACATTTGAAATACCTAAAACATAATGTAGTGCCGTTAAATACGGATGAGCAAATAAATGTAATGGCAGTAGCCGTACGAGCAATGGCAGTAGCGTTTGTCCGTCTGTCCACACAACATAATAGCACATGGGACTACTGGGCTTTTCATATCTATTGATATGGCGCCTGTACACCGATAAAACTGTCAAACGAAAACGACACTTGGCACACGGTCCAAAGGACACAACATAATAACAACGGACGATGCCACTTGTTTGAAAGGTATCCCATCCATCTTCGGACGTATAAATGTGCATAACGTGCCGCCGGGTTAATATTGAAATCTTTATCAGTTTCTACGTGCCGTCCATGTCGAGACCCGTTTTCGTAGAACGGATTGAGCTACCTGCAAGGTAATACGATTATTCGTCAGCGATGTCTGGTTGGGTTATACACATCTTTTATATCTCTAAAATGCACCACCGAAGTAACCTCAATAACGACGAGGTTTTCAACACGGTCCGTTTTAACGAACATTTCCGTTATGTCTGCAATAGACTACAATAGCATTTTCCAGTAATAACACGTCTGGCTAAACAATTATCAGTGAAATTCGTAGTTTTCACAAAAGCTTCCAATATTTTTTTGCCTCCTGAAACAATGTTTTTCTTTTCATTTTAATTTGGTAAAACTGAAGAACCGATTTTAAACCAAGCACAGTATTAAATAGGTACAGCGTACTTATCCAATTACAGCCTTGGAAAGTGAAGAAGTTTAAATTACTCGATACTGTAACGAAGTTACTTTTATTTTCCAGTGACTAATAAATATTTTAATTACATTTAGTAATTAATTATTATTGTTATTATAGTAATTTCAATTTACTAACGCCGTTACTTACAATGCTTACCTAATAAATGATTCCTACCTTGGAAAAAAATTCTCTGACATTATAACGTAATTTCATTTTTTCGTTTATTTTATTTTATTAATTTTCAGGTTATGGTAA